GAGCTTATACAACTAGCTGGCTAGGAGTCCCTGTGCAATTCAAAGCCATTTGGACCAGGTTATAGTTTAGCCCCACCTGGTGGCAACTGTCTATAGTAGTTTTTATGAAATCCATGGGTCACTGGTTCCTGTGGCTGACTAGGGTTTCCAGGACAGCAGCCCCAGTCCCAGCAACCTCCTGACTGCGTGGTGTCCATTTAGATGTAGATATGGAGTCAAAACAGTGGGGAAAGGGAAACCTCCCAGCTTCCAGAAATGGTTCTGTCAGCTATTTCACAACTACCTCTACCAATTATCTTAGAGAACAGGGGCTAATTTTTCTAAACTTGTATCACCATGGGATGCATTTTAAAGGATTTTTTAAAACCAACAAAACTAAAAAAGAAGGAATTCTTACCATTGCAACAGCATGGATGGAACTGGAGAGCATTATGCTAAGCCAGTGGTTCATTATGCTAACCTTCTGGCCCTTTAAATACAGTTCCTCATGTTGTGACCCAACCATAAAATTATTTTCGTTGCTACTTCATAACTGTAATGTTGCTACTGTTATGAATCGATATTTATCTGATATGCAGGTATTTATCTGATATGCAGGATGGTCTTAGGCGATCCCTATGAAAGGGTCGTTCGACCGCCAAAGGGGTCGCGACCCAAAGGTTGAGAACTGCTGTGCTAAGTGAAATAAGCCAGTCAGAGAAAGATAAATATCACATGATCTCACTCATTTATGGAATATAATGAACAACATAAACTGATGAACAAAAACAGATCCAGAGACAGAGAAGCATCGATCAGACCGTCAAACCTCAGAGGGAAGGCAGGGAAGGGTAGGGGTAAGGGGGAGAGATCAACCAAAGGACTTGTATGCATGCATATAAGCCTAACCAATGGGCACAGACACCTGGGGGGTGAGGGCATGAGTGGGGGGTGGGGGGCAATGGGGGGATAAGGACACATATGTAATACCTTTATCAATAAAGAAAAAAATTAAAAAAAAAACAAAAACTAAGAAAATTCTCAAAATGATTACATATCAAAGTTTATGTGGATTGTTTGGAAATAATTATGCATGTTATCATCGAAATAATTCCATAAATTTTAAAGTTAGTAACTCGGTCAATAAAAGCCTATCTATATAATAAAAGCCTAAGCAACCGTTATGGCAGAACAACCAGAACTACTGGTCACTATGATGTGCACTGACCACCAGAGGGCAGATGCTCAACGCAGGAGCTGCCCTCTGGTGGTCAGTCCGCTCCCACAAGGGGAACGCCGCTCAGCCAGAAGCTGGGCTCATGGCTGGCGAATGCAGTGGTGGTGGCAGGAGCTTCTCTCACTTCCGTGGCAGTGCTAAGGAGCAGCAAGCAGGCGGGTGGTAAGGAGCAAGGGGTCCCAGATTGGAAAGGATGCAGGCCGGGCTGAGGGACACCACCCCATGCATGAATTTTGTGCACCAGGCTTCTAGTATAAATATAAGAAAGGAACTGGAGGGCATTATGTTAAGCAAAATATTCCAGTCAGAGAAAGATAAATATCACATGATCTCACTCATTTGTAGAATACAAAGAACATCATAAACTGGTGAACAAAAACAGATACAGAGACAAAGAAGCATTGAACAGATTGTCAAACTACAACGGGAAGGCAGGGGAGGGTTGCGGGGGTGGGGGTAAGAGATCAACTGAAGGACTTGTATGCATGCATATTAAGCAAAACCAATTGACACAGACACTGGGGGGGGGGGGAGTGAGGCATATGCCGGGGGGTAGGGGAGGCTGGGGGGAGGTCAAAGGGGGGAAAAGGAGACATATATAACATATATACTACTATTTGTAATACTTTAAATGATAAAAAGTAAATAATAATAAAAATAATTTTAAAAAGCAAGCAAGCAAGCTTGCTAGATACCTGGCATATGGTCGGTCTCAATAAATATTGCTAAGTAAATAAATGTGTTGCTCTGAGAGCTTGAATGTAAACTTTCCTAACATCAACCTTAGTCTGATTCAAAGTCTTGCTTGTTGGCAAAGATCAAAATATCATACACTCACATTGTGCTGATAAACTAGTATAACAAGTCAATTTCAAAATAATTTTCCCACTATAATATAAACTTTCAAAAGCCATATGAACTATAATGATGGTATGTAACAACAACTGTCATTGAAATAAGAAGCATTTATTTTCTCCTAATACTGCCAATCACTAAGGAAGCTACTATATACTGATCTGAAAGTAACTGATGAATAAAAATCCTTCTTCAAGATTATTTTATATTAGTGGCCTGGTGCACAAAATTTGTACATGGGGAGTGTGGGGGGGTTCCCTCAGCCCAGCCTGCACCCTTTCCAATTGGGGACCCCCCTCACTATCCGGGACTGCTGGCTCCTAACCACTCGCCTGACTGCCTGCTGATTGCACGTAACCACTTCTGCCTGCCAGCCTGATTGCCCCTAACCGCTCCCCTGCTGGCCTGATTGATGCCTAACTGCTTCCCTGCCAGCCTGATCACCCCCAACTGCCCTCCCCTGTGGGCCCAATCGTCCCTAACTGCCCTCTCCTGCAGGCCTGATCTCTCCTAACTGCCCTCTCCGCCCTCCCCTGCCGACCTGGTCGCCCTCCCCTGCCGACCTGGTCGCAGGCCTGGTTCCCCCTAACCGCCTGGCTCCCCCTAACCCCTCTGCCTAACTGCCTCTGCCTGCCTGATTGCCCTAACCCCTATGCCTGCCTGCCTGATCGCCCCTAACCTCTCTATCTGCCCCCTAACCTCTCTATCTGCCTGCCTGCCTGCCCCTAACCTCTCTGCCTGCCTGCCTGATTGCCCCTAACTGCCTCTGACTGCCTGCCTGATCACCCCTAACTGCCCTGATCTCTCCCCCAACTGTCCTCCCCTGCTGGCCTGATCTTGCCCCCAACTGCCCTCTCCTGCCGGCCTGATCGCCCCTAACTGTCTCTGCCTCGGCCCCCACCACCATGGCTTTGTCCAGAAGGAAGTCGGACATCCAGAAGATGGCCGGTTGACCTGGTCTAATTAGCATATTACCCTTTTAGTAGTATAGATAGATTATATCAGATAGGATTACTTAAATGGGGGTGGGGTTGGGGGATGCCTTTTTCAGCAGGAGGAGATGCTCTTGGCAGACAAAAATACATAATCCCTATATCTGGACTGACAGCCAGCCATATGCACTATACTGCCAAATCGGTCATTAAAAAATTGAACCGCTTTCTTACACCTTACCTCAAACAGCTTGTTGCCCTTAAAACCCCTCCTCAGCCCCCACCTTAGGTTCTGCCTTCGCAGTTCACCCAGATTAGGTTCTGATTGGTCGGTTTCTATGCCAGTCAGCACCAAAAACTCCACCTCCTAGGCAGCCACTGGCTCCTCACACTTCACACAGATTTGGTTCTGATTGGTCGGTTTCTATGCCAGTCAGTCTCCGGGCCTATCTCTGGGCCTGATCAGAGAGGTGGAGCTGATCAGCAGCCCCCACGGAGGTCCGGAGAGAAAGAGTGGCGCAGCTGCTGGCCAGGCTCGGAGAGAGAGAGACAAGGGCTTATCAACAGCTGCCATGGAGGCTACGGATCAGACCCTGCTTCTCTCTCCAGGCCTCTCTCCGGGCCTGATCCACAGCCCTCTCAGTCAGTGCTGGGTCGCCATGGCAACCCAGCACTGACTGCAGGACTGACTTCTGGTCGGTTGAGCCTTCAGTATTTTGGACGTTACGGATCCTGGGTTTTTATATATTGGGATGATGTCTTTCAGGACTAGTAGTTAAATGAGGCATATGCAATATTTCATATTATTATTCTAGTTTTTTAATAGTTCCTGAAGATTTTAGGCATGGTTATAAGAAGAACTACTAGCATCTGTTAGTATGCTCTAATTTCCTTCCTTTCCTGTCCTCAATCTGAACTGAGGGAAGGGCAAAAAGAAAAGTTACCAGGGTAATAAGGGATAAAGGGAATACCAGAGTAAGGAGGCCTAAGGTCTGATAAATCATGTTCTAAACTAGTTATCAAAGATCTTAGAACTTTAATGTTCCATTATATTTATACTTATATTTTATTAATGCATTTAAGAAGACATTATGTCATAGAAATAAAAGCTTAATTTCAATAAATCTATGTTTCAAATAAAGAGAAAAAAATGTCACAGAAATTTCCTACTTTTTTTTTTTTTACCTGTTTTCCCGTTCATACATTTCTTTAGAGGCATTTCGAAGTTGATCAATTTCTTGATTCGTTTTCAATTTAATTTGTTCTAGTTCATCATGTAGTTTATTTTCATATTCGGCTTTATAATGGTCTCTGCAAGAAATCAAAGGAATACCCATGAATTTACTTTTGTAAAAGAAACAGGTATTGCCCTAGCTGGTTTGGCTCAGTGGATAGAGTGCCGGCCTGGAGACTGAAGGGTCCCAGGTTTGATTCCGGTCAAGGGCACATGCTTGGGTTGGGGCCTCGATCCCCAGTAGGGGGCGTGCAGGAGGCAGTCAATCAATGATTCTCTCTCATCATTGATGTTTCCTCTCTCACTCATCCTTCCTCTCTGAAATCAATTTTATATATATATATATATGAACAGGTATTTACCCTTTATGTAAGATTTTAATAAGTCAAATATGGTCTAAATATAATGTTGCTTGAAAAACATAGCTGTCACATATAAAGTTTTGTAATTCCTAAAAATATTGTTTCAACTAGTTCCATCTAAGATTTCCTTTTAAACATTCTGTCTTTAAGGATTAGTTACTACATAAAATGTTAGTTAACTCATTTTGAATAATTAATTAATCTTAAAGAGTATTTTACTAATAGTTTTTAATGTGCATGGCTAGAGATTTGAAAATGGACGCATATGGAATGTCCTTCATTTAGAAATATAAACTGGCATGGTACAGGCTGACAGACAAATAAATAATACAGTGTGGGGCAAAAGTAGGTTTACAGTTGTGAGTTTGTGAAGCACAGTTTATTGTTGAATTATTTATTATTATATTGTTTTCCATAAGAACTGTAAATCTACTTTTGCCCCACCCTGTATTAAAAAAACATATAAACAAAATGACTCTGACTCTTTAGAAAACTTTTCCTTCAAAGGACAACTATAGCCACTGTGATCTCTTCCCAAAGTCACAAAGCATTACATAGGGGATTAGCAGGAGCACACATATGAAAAATAGCACAGGCTAGGGCAGCAGTTCTCAACCTGTGGGTTGTGACCCCTTTGGGGGTCGAACGACCCTTTCACAAGGGTCGCCTAAGACCATCCTGCATATCAGATATTTACATTACGATTCATAACAGTAGCAACATTACAGTTATGAAGTAGCAACGAAAATAATTTTATGGTTGGGTCACAACATGAGGAACTGTATTTAAAGGGCCAGAAGGTTGAGAACCACTGGGCTAGGGGAAAAGGTATGAATGTGTGAAGTCTTAAAGGATAAAATGGAGAATTATTTTAGTTTTTGATGTGCTAAAAACAAATAACTCAAGGATTATAAGGGCTATTGGTACAAAGGGAACTCTAATAGCTTGTACATCTAGTTGAAGAGAGAGGACAGAATTGAAATAGAGGGGGTCTGAATCCATAGCCTGTATCTTCAAACAGTATGCAGTGCTGTCTCTCATTCTCTTTTTGTTTCAGTTAGGAAAGGTCAGCTTAGTTAGATTTTCTTCAAAAAGATACCTCGGGCCCTGACCAGTTTGGCAAAGTGGATCGGCCTGCTGACTGAAGGGTCCCAGGTTCGATTCCGGTCAAGGGCATGTACCATGGTTGTGGGCACATCCCCAGTAGGGGGTGTGCAGGAGGCAGCTGATCAATGTTTCTGACTCTCTGTCCCTCTCCCTTCCTCTCTGTAAAAAATCAATAAAATATATTTTTTAAAAAAAAGATACTTCGGTAGAGATACTTATGTGCTTTCTTTCAAAAATACTTATATAGAGATCTTAGTCATAGGGAATCAGAAAGGTTATGTGTAAAAAATAAAATAAATAAAAATGGCTACAGTATATGTATACACCCCTACATAAAAGAAATTTGGTTGTTGAAAAAGCCAAAATGTCTTAAGAAAAAAAATCAGAATAGAGAACATCTTATAAGGATACAAAATGAACTATTATCTTAACATCATCCTGTAGACCTTAAAAAAGATCACTATTCTTCCCTAAGGCAAGAGTTCCCTCCAAGAAGCTGGTGTTACTTTATATCTATTTATATGTGAAGTAATGTAAATCTTGCCTGGATGTTACATATTTTTCATACATCTCTTCTCTAGCTTTTTTGGTTTCTTCGAGTTGAGCTTGAAGTCTTTCAAGGCGGTCCTCTTCATGGGCACAGCGAACACTGAGCTCCATGTTTTGGCGGTTGAGATATTCTTTATCCTTCTGCAGTAAAGTAACAGTTTGCTGCAAGGTGGCTACCTACACATACGTAGAGACAGACAGTGTTCAGAGCAATGTCTTGCTTTTCAAGGTTTACTGTTATTTTCTTTCATTTGTGCTTTCACTAACCACATAAAAAGGACTAATTCTTGCCTTGCCATTTTTCATCCAAACACAGCTACTAAAGTCCCTTCTTTCTGGCAACTACATCAAAAAGGAAAAATGTCCCTCCTACAATTCTGCCCTATGCCCCCATCACTGTACAATAAATACAAATGACTCTATAAGCTTACCTCTTTCGATAATTCAGTTCTTTCTTTAGCTTGAATTATATGAGAGGCTTCAAGTATTTCATGTTTTCTCCTTATTTCAATTACTTCCTGTTCAAGTGCATCACGTTCACTGAAAAATTCAAATACACATATAAATTTTACATCACTTTTTATAATGAATACTAGAGGCCCGGTGCACGAAATTCGTGCACAGGGGGCGTCCCTCAGCGAGATCTGCACCCTCTCCAATCTGGGAGCCCTCACAGAATGTCCTACTGGGAGCTTAGGCCTGCTCCCCATAGTTCTTTGCTCTCTGCGGACCTGCCTGCTGTCTGCTCTCTGGCTCGCCGCCACGGCCAGGGACAAGCAGGGCCCTGCTGTCTGCTCTCTGCGGGGGTCCTTCTGTCTGCTCTCTGGCTCACCACTGTGGCCAGGGGCAAGCAGGGCCCTGGAGTCTGCTCTCGGCAAGGGGCAAGCAGGGCTGACAGGACCGGACACTCCAGTGGCGGCTGAGTGGTGAGGCTGGATCCACCTGAGGGGGTAGATCCAGCCACGCTGCTCAGCCGCTGCTCCCCTCAATGGGGCTGACAGGACCAGACACTCCAGTGGTGGGGCTGAGGGGACTGGGCACCACCATCTTGTGGCTATGGGCGCCGCCACTTTTGTGATGGAGTGATGGTTAATTTGCATATTCCCTTTTTATTAGATAGGACTAGAGGCCCGGTGCACAAAAATTTGTGCACTCGAGGGGGTCCCTCAGCCTGGCCTGTGCCCTCTCGCAGTCTGGGACCCCTCGGGGATGTTGACCTGCTGGTTTAGGCCCGCTTCCCGGGGGATCGGGCCTAAGCTGGCAGTCAGACATCCCTCTGGTAGCCCGGGAGCCCTTGGGGGATGTCCACTTGCCAGCGGGGACAGGTCTAAGCTGCAGTCGGACATCCTTAGGACTGCTGAGGAGGAGGGAGAGGCTCCTGCCATCACTGCTGTGCTGGCAGCCGTCAGCCTGGTTTGTGGCTGAGCAGAGCTCCCCCTGTGGGAGCACACTGACCACCAGGGGACAGCTCGTGCATTGAGCTTTTGCCCCCTGGTGGTCAGTGTGTGTCACAGTGACCAGTCATTCCCAGTCATTCTGCTGTTAGGGTCAATTTGCATATTACCCTTTTATTATATGTCTGGTGCATGGGTGGGGGCTGGCTGGTTTGCCCTGAAGGGTATCCTGGATCAGGGAGGGGTCCCACTGGGGTGCCTGGCTAGTCTGGGTTAGGGGCTGAGGGCCGTTTTCAGACTGGCCACACCCCCTTCAGGGAGGGGGGTCCTGCTGGGGTGCCTGGCTAGCCTGGGTGAGTGGCTGCTCCCTGCTGGCAAGTGGATATCCCCCAAGGGCTCCTGGACTGCTAGAGGGATGTCTGACTGCCAGCTTAGGCCCGATCCCCCAGGGCCTAAGCCAGTAGATGGACATCCCGGAGGGCCCCAGACTGCGAGAGGGCACAGGCTGAGGGCCCCCCCCCCCCCCCCGCCGAGTGCACAAATTTTTGTGCACCGGACCTCTAGTGTTCTTTATAATTACCCAGAGGTTTTAATTTTCATATTCAGACCACCTCTTTCCCACCAACAGTAAGAGCAAAAATTGAACCACACCTATAATGGGTTTAAAAAAAACGAGCAGAGCCCTAGCCAGTTTAGCTCAGTGGATAGAGCATTGGCCTGTGGACTAAAGGGTCCCAGGTTCGATTCCAACCAAGGGCACATGCCCAGGTTGCAGGCTTGATCTCTAATAGGAGGTGTGCAGGAGGTAGCTGATCAATAATTTTCTCTCATCATTGATGTTTCTATCTCTCTTTCCCTCTCCCTTCCTCTCTGAAATCAATAAAAATATATTTTTTAAAAATGAGCAGAGAAATAAATTTTGTAATCTTAACTTACCTTCTCCAGTCAGAAACAGTTCCTTTACACTTTATTTCATCTACCCACCTGGTGTTTTCATGGAGAGGGCTATTAAGAATTGTTTTATTTTTCACTCGATTTTCAGTAACTCATTTAGAAAGATTTTTTTCTTCTAGTTAACAAAGTATTATGTTTATTGAGAAAAGTGAGCAAAGCACAAGTTAAAAAATAACAATCATCCATAAACCCACTAACTAGAGATGGCTATCATTATTATATTTTGGTACATATTAAGTATTTTGTGATTTTATACATAACTGTTTTTACTGTCACAAGGTATTAAGCATGCTTCCTTTGCTATGGTTTTTTTTTATGCACAATTATAAAATCATGATATAGTAAAACACCCATGAACTTGCTATCCACAGTTGACAACAGTTAATATCTGTCTATATTTGGATTAAAGTTTTTTTTAAATAAAATTTTTTGTTGATTTCAGAGAGGAAGGGAGAGGGAGAGAGAGAGATAGAATCATCAATGATGAGAGAGAATCATTGGCTGCCTCCTGCAAGCCCCACACTGGGGATCAAGCCTGAAACCTGGGCATGTGCCCCAACTGGGAATCGAACCTCAACCTCCTGGTTCATAGGTCAACGCTCAACCATTGAGCCACGCCCGCTGGGCAGATAAAAGTTTTGTTTTTTTTAAAAGATAGAACACTATGAGTAAACTTGAAGTTACCTATATTTTCCTCACTGTTCTTATATCATTTCCTAGATACAATGATGAATTTAGTATTTCTTTGTTTTTTTCTTAATTCGCTGATATGATAAAACAAAATACAGCTTTAATTGCTTTATAGATTACTTCTTTTTATTGTTGACACTATTACAGATGTCCCCCATTTTCTCCCCCTTTGACCACCCCCGCTCCCCTTCACCACACTGTTGTTTGTGTCCATGGGCTATGCATTATGTTCTTTGGCTAATCTCTTCACCTTCTTTTATCCAGTCCCCCTACAACCCTCACCCTATGTTTTTTACATACTTTTACTCAATAATTGGTAAAATTTTGTCATTTACTTTGTATTATTTACTAAATATTTGTCATACTTATTCTCTCTTTGTTGTTCATATATATGAATAAACGTATACACTTATTCTTTCTGTTGTTCATATATATGAATAAACATACATACAAACGAATACTATGTGATACAAACACAAGTATATACATCTACATACAAACACATACATGTGCATCCCCCTCAACTATTTAAGAGTTATATGCAGACGCTAGGTCCCTTTATCCCTAAATAATTCACTTTGAATTACCTAAGACTAACAATATTCTCTTATATAATCAGAATATCATATCAAATTCAGGAGATTTAGCGCTAACATAATTATGTAAATATACAATCCAGTTTCAAATCTGTCACTTGTCCCAAAAAATATCCTCTAGGGCAGTGGTTCTCAACCTTCCTAATGCCACGACCCTTTAATACAGTTCCTCATGTTGTGGTGACCCCCAACCATAAAATTATTTTCGTTGCTACTTCATAACTGTAATTTTGCTACTGTTATGCATCGTAATGTAAATATCTGATATGCAGGATGTATTTTCATTGTTACAAATTGAACATAATTAAAGCATAGTGATTAATCACAAAAACAATATATAATTATATATGTTTTCTGATGGTCTTAGGCGACCCCTGTGAAAGGGTCGTTCGACTCCCAAAGGGGTTGCGACTCACAGGTTGAGAACCACTGCTCTAGGGCAATCTCTCCCTGGTCCAGGATCCAACATATTATCATGCATTCCATTTAGGTGCCATAGGCCTTTAGTTTCCTTTAACCTTGATCAGTTCCTTAGCCCATCTTTGCCTTTTACAACATTGATTAGATTCACATTAAGCACTTTGGGCAGGAATACTATGTAAGTGATAGATACTGTGTTTTCAGTAGATCACATAAAGAGGCACATGATGTTACTCTATCCATTGATTGGTGATAGTAGCTTTGATCATTTGCCCAAGATGGTATCTGCCAAAGTCCTAAATATAAAGGTACCTTTTTGCCCTTTGCAATGAATAAGTAATCTGTGGGAACATACTTTGAAATTGTATATTCTGTTCCCTAACATACTTTTACCCAATAGTTTTAGCTTCCAATACTTCATAGTAGTATTATGAAGCTAGAAAATGGTAATTCTAATACACATATATATTTATTGTTTAGCACTCAACTGTAAGATCCTCTTTATTATTAGCATGTACTCAGGGATTCTTATTCTATTCAATGAATATTGCTAATATTCATTTTGATATTTAATATTTGACCAGTTAGAGCCCCTTCAAACTAGCTACTGTGGTATTGAATTGGAATTAGAAATATTAGTAAGATCTTTCCATAGTGTATTAACCCATCCTTCCTATTCCCTCTACATCGCCTCTGCTTAGTGAAAGGGCCTAGAAACAATGACCAATGTAGCAATGAGCAGCACCCAAATCTTAATTTTTGAATAGTAATCCCTAATAAAAGGAACCAGGACTCCTTAGAGAAAGAGCTGAGGCAATGAAATTACAAAATAAACCTGAGAACATTATTTTATGCCAGAAAGTAGGAAACTGCTTTAAAACATATATATATATATATATATATATATATATATATATATATATATATAAAATTAATTTTTTACAGAGAGGAAGGGAGAGGGATAGAGAGTTAGAAACATGGATCAGCTGCCTCCTGCATACCCCCCACTGGGGATGTGCCCCCAACCAAGGTACATGCCCTTGACTGGAATCAAACCTGGGACCCTTCAGTCCACAGGCTGACGCTCTATCCACTAAGAAAAACCGGTTAGGGCGGAAACTGCTTTTTTTAAAAAAAAGATAGGCACATGCATTTTGTTTTTCAAAATTTATTATTTTGTATTTAATTTACCCATATAGATACATTAAGGTCTTATTTAATGATTTCAACTGCTAGAAAGAATTACATTTTAGAAATAAATCACAATTTATTTTCCATTCCACTATTGAAAAGAATTTTAATTTTTTCCAGTAATGATGCAATTAACATTCACATATTGTTTCCTTTTGCACATCTGTGAGAATTTATAAAGAACATAAAAGTGATTTTTTACCCCAAAACATTTAAAAAAATTAATTCTTTCTACTGAGTGAACCAAACGGTTCACAGTTTGAGGCCCTCTTGCTTGTTTTTCTGTTCCATTTTT